TCTAAAGTGTAGGGGCAGCGGGGAAATGACATTGGAGGGCTTTATCCAGCCCATGGGCCTTAAATTGGGGACCCCTAATCTTGACTGTTCTTTTCACAGAACTGTCCCAGTGCAAGTTACTCAAGCAAATATAATTGGTAAATTAGGCTGGATTTACAATGCCCTCCATCCCAGAACAAAACAGGACATTTTTAGTTTGGTCAGTGACCAACATTAAAAGAACCAGTAGAACATGAATAAGACATACATTTAAGCATTAAGATACAACTTTAAAAAGGTGAGTTTTTAAAAAAGTGTTAACCATGAGATTTAAAACAGCATTAAAAGCTTGTGTATTTAAATAACAATCTTGGCAATGATAAAAACTAAGATAAAAGTTAAGTTGAAATAATAAACCCCTTTGAGACTGTACCAACAGGCTATTGCTGATGAAAAGAATCTAGACGGAGGGTTTTAAGCACATAGGGAACATGAGGGCACACAAGGAGGAAAAGCACAATTGAACACAAATCCAAAGACTAGTGGGTGGGAGCACACTAGTGGGTGGGAGCACTAACTATATCTGGAATTACAAGTTTCCAGTAAGTTAAAATCCTAGCTCATGATACTAGTCATTTGTTGTTGTTTATTCGTTCAGTCGTGACCTCATGGATCGGCCCATGCCAGAGCTCCCTGTCAGCTGTGGCCACCCCCAGCTCCTTCAGAGTTAAGCCAGTCACTTCAAGGATACTATCCATCCATCTTGCCCTTGGTCGGCCTCTCTTCCTTTTTCCTTCCATTTCCCCCAGCATCATTGTCTTCTCTAGGCTTTCCTTTCTTCTCACTATGTGGCCATCTTTGCCGCTAATATCCTTTCCTCCAATGAGCAGTTGGGCTTTATTTCCTGGAGTATGGACTGGTTGGATCTTCTCGCGGTCCAAGGCACTTTCAGAATTTTCCTCCAACACCACAGTTCAAGAGCATCTATCTTCCTTCGCTCAGCCTTCCTTATGGTCCAGCTCTCGCATCCATAGGTTACCATTGCTTTAACTATGTGGACCTTCGTTGCCCGTGTGATGTCTCTAATGGTAATTACCCAGCAAATTTTAAGCGCTACCACACAAAATTTGCCAACTTTATATGTTATAATAACGTTGGTGTCCAAGAGAAGCATTCTGGTGTAAAATTATCATGAGCACCCTGGGTGTTTGTAAAGCAGTGGTAATATGAAACTATTGCAAATTTCTCTGTAAAACAGAAACACGTCAGGAGCACATGTTTCTATGTGTCCAGAGTCACAGGGCATCTTTCTTAGAATCTTAACAGTCCAAATTCTAAAGCACTTCTTTGGTCTGAGATCTGAATAGTCCAAGATCTGGTCACATGGTCTGCAGTCCCTCCCACAACATAGTGTTAAAGAAAACTGCATACCAACACATATATACACAATACAGTAAGCAATCTCAATTATATACAAACAAATTACTCATGGAGGCTTGGAAAAGGTTGCTATTTTCAACAGAATATGATAATGCCTCCCTTCATCTTTTTTTTAATTGAATGGATTCAGGTATACAAACAGTGTGAACTTGTCATTATTTCAGGGCACGTCCGCTTTGCTAGTTGGAGTTATGACAACAATAGTCATAGGTACACAAATACTTGCTGTAATATGATGGCCAAATGGTACATCTAGCAATTGATATTTCATAGCATTATGGGAACCAATTTTAGGTAGTCTACAGAACTGAGATACTTTCATTTCCATGCAACCAAGAATACCCCTCTTCAAACATTTGCAATCTTTCTTATATGCGCAGATTCAAGCAAAAATTAAATTGTGAGGATTACTCATTTGGATAGCTATGGGATTATCTGTAACAAACATTTGTTTATTTATTATTTTTATTTATATCTTGCTTTTTCCCTCCCAAACAAGACTTGAAGCAGTTTACAATGAAACCAATTCAATACATAAACATAATTTATAACCTCAACTCCCTGCTCTCCAAATCATTTCATTAAAGGTAGTTTCATCCATTGCTGTGCACCTGATGATCTTTGTCTCTTCATAAATATACTTTATAAATTATGTTATCACAATCCAAAATTTAAATTCAGTTTAGCATGCACCTATATTATATTTATTCTGCGTGTGAGAAAGAAAGAGAGTGAGAATGAGAGAGGGCAAACTGGCAAATAAATTATAGACTCTCTTTCAAGACAATAGTCTTCCTGCTATTACCAAAAACAATTTCACCATGTGCTTCGGTCCAGCATCTTCTCTGTTTATATTAATGTTGCCTAAGCATTCATTCACATCAGACTGGAATGTGGGATGTGAAAAGAGGCAAAGGAAAGAAGGAGTACCATATGGAAGAAAGAAAGGAAAGTACATGGGGTGTGAGGTTAGGACTGAATGGCTGCTGTCCGCTGCCTCCCTCCTGTGCTGCCCTCCCTAACTGCTTTCCTCTCAGTGAAAAGCTCTCTTTGCTGTGAGAACAGAAGAACAGAGCAAAAAATGACAGGCAGAGGAAGAGTTAAGCAAACATTTCCCAGCCTACTTCTATTTTCTGAATTATTCACTCTTTTCAGTTTTTAAAGAACCTTTGGGTCTGCCATTGTCAAAAGATAAAGGTGCCTGGGTTCTAAAATTGTATTTCCCACTCTTCCTGGTTTTTTGTTGATTGGGTTAAATAGGGAGATCATGCAAAGCATCTGGAATTGCACACGAATTGCTGATACTTTTCGTGCAATTGCATAGACTGCTAAAATTGTGCCTTGCTTACTATACCTTCTGTTTACAATCTGTAGAGCATATTTAAAGACTTCTGTTGATTTGCCATACTGTGTTAAGTATATTCTGCACCTGCAGACAATTTGCATTTTAAACATGAATATCTAAACCCCAAATGGCAGTGCTCACTTTCTTGGGGGCTGTTTTATTTATTTACTAGCTCGAGGACACGGCGGTGCCCGGGTTATTTGAGAAAGGCATTGTTTGTTTTGTGAAGTTTGGTAATATCAGTTTGGTAATGTGTAACAGCATTTATTAGGGGGGGAAAGCCAATCTTTCCTTTTGTTTTTTATGAATGCTCCCATTAGAAAAGGCATTACAAGAGAGAGAGAGAGAGAGAGAGAAAGGAAAAGGCATTAGGATGTGGGTGAACTACAATTCCCAGAATAATAGGTCAACCCTTCCCAAACCCTGCCATTATTCAAAGTTGGCCATGTTGGATCTGTGTGCCAAGTTTGGTCCAGTTCTGACACCAGCTGGGTTCAGTGATAAGGGTGAAGTACAACTCCCAGATTTCCACGGCAATCAACCATAAACCCAGCCAGTATTCACAGTTGACCATGTTGGTTCAGTGTGCCAAGTTTGGTCCAGATCTGTTGTTGGTTGGGTTCAGTGTTCTCTGGATAAGGGTGAACTACAAGCTCCAGATTACTACAACTTCCATCCTGTTGAGTCAGTCCCCCAATCCCCTCCAGTTTGTTCAATTACTGATCAATTCTTCTATATTTCTTGTGTGCCACACGAAAGGGTAGGAAATGGTTAAGGGAGAGGCAGTGGGCATTGTCTTGCAAATTCCACACAGGGAACCCTGGGATGTCTGTCTGTGGTGGAGGAAACACATCAAATCTAGGATAAAATTCTACCCAAATGAAAGCATTCCTCGGATGGTGGGCCATTGTATTTGGGGAGGACATTGGCAGCATTTGAGCTACATGTTCATGGTGCTCGCTATAATCTGCAATGTCAGTTGGGGAAGTGCCTTTAGAACTTCTCAGTATTTGGAACTATAGCCTGTTTGTGGAAGCGGGACGCTGTCTGTGTAAGTGGACACCTCTGCCATGCACACACATACACATTTTTCACTTTTATTATATGTATAGATAAGGCACCATGTATACTGATGGCACTAGAAAGATAAATGATGATGTAATGGTTAAAGTGAAATATGGTATTATAGTTGGGTAGTGCTAAAGGACCCAAGGACTGTGCTAACTCTCTGAAAGCACAGATAATGATGATGATGATGATGATGATGATGATGATGATGATAATAACAATAACAATACTATTATTTTTTTTCTTATACCCTGCCACCACCTCCCTAAAGGGACTCAGGGCGACTTATGTATGGACAGTGTCCACAATACGTAAAAGCAATAAAACAAAGAAAACATAAAAGTAAAAGCAATCTACAGAACAAAAAACCTTAAAATAAAAGCAACACAAATTACAAACTAAAGATAAAAGTATAAAACCATTTATACTGAAACTCCAGCAGATGAGGTTCAACAAGGACCAATGGCCAAGATTACGAAAGTGGGCATGGCCAAGATAAAAGGGCCCAGATCCTGAGGCTGGATCCACAATACCATATAATCCAGTTTCTGAACACAGATGATCTGCTTTTAACTGGAATATATGTCTACACTATCAGAACCTGGATTATATGGCAGTGTAGACTCATATAATCCAGTTCAAAGCAGATCATCCGGATTATATGAAAGTGTAGATCCAGCCTGAGTTACAAATATAAGAATTCTTTTCTATACCCGAGAACTCTACAGTGCTGGCTAATAATTCCCAATTGTAAACTGTTTTTCAGTCACTGTTGGTAACACCTACAATAAGATAGGTATTGAAGGCCAAGGAGGTGAAGGATCTGTGTGCTGAATACAGATTTGAAACAATCAGTGAGAACTTCACTGCAGGTTATTCTAGTCTATGGTGTTCAGCTGTGCTTTTGAAATACAGATAGATATATAGTGAAACTGGTATTTCCCTTGTCCTGAAATTCAAGAGACTGTCTTCTTTCTGATTATCTGTTCATCTACATCTGCTTAGCCACATGGGATCTTGGAGAAGGAACAGTATTTATCAAGAAAGATGGAAAGCAAAAAAAAATTCTGGAGTCGTCAGTGACAAAACTCAAGAGTCTTCAGGCGGATGAGGAACTTGTGAGGGTTGTGACAGTGACCTTTACAAAAATTACTCACAGTAAGCTTACCCTGAGGTAGTTGAGGGTGAAATTAGTCAGACCCATACGAGTGATGTTTTTGGACAGCTGCTCCAGCACCTGAGGGTCTTGTGCCTATGCCGAAAACAAAGAGATATTCTTATACGCTCATGTGAAATATAAGTGCAGTACTAAAATCATCATTCAAGGCCATATTTTTAAAATGACATTCTTATCTATAAACAGCTTACTAAATTATATAAGGCCTCAGAGATTGGTACTGGACATTAGAGTTCACCTGCTCAAGTCAAAAGCAAAGGGCATTTAATTCCAGCTGCCAGATCAATAATGCTAACACTAATGTTTTACTATTGTATTGTGATTGTTTGTTATCTCAGTAATGCTTATTGCAGTCTTTGCACCGTCTTGCATTTTTTTTAAAAAGGGATTCAGTGTTTGTATCATTTTGTAAAAAGGGAATTTGATGGGTTAAAGGACCTTAAATATTTGTTGTTGTGCCTGTCCAAGTCATCTTCAACGGATGGTGATCCAAAGACAAGTCTATCATGGGATTTCCTTAGCAACATTTTTTTTCTGACTTGTGTTTGTGTGCATGCTGCTGTTTGAGGCTGAGAGAGTGTGACTTGCCCAAGGTTTTTTTTAAAAATTGTGTCAAAAGAGGATTGAGAATATACTGCAAGTCATTTCTGGTGAGAATAGGCCATTTTCAAGGACATTGCCCAGGGGATGCCTGGATGTGTTACCATCCTGTAGGAGGCTTCTCTCATGTCCCCGCATGGGAAGCTGGGTCTGACAGATGGGAGCTCACCCTATCTCGTGGATTCGAACCACCAATCTTCATCTGCAGGTCAGCAGTTCAGCCAGCACAAGAGTTTAACCCATTGCGCCATTGCGGCTCCCTGCCCAAGGTTACCCAATGAATTTCCATGACCAAGCAGAGATTTCAACCCTGGTTGTAAGTGTCATAGATCAGTACTGAAACTACTATGCAATACTGTCTCTATTTATATATTAATATGCCCCAAGCAGTTCTCAATTTAACACAAAAGGATAGAAAACAATACTAAGACCATCTAATATACCATCACTAGAAAACCTAAGAGAGCAGCAGTTTGATGTTTTCCAGTCAAGAAGAGTGACAACTAGATCTTCGGGCTCAAAGGAGATATTCAGACATTTTTGCATGAGAAAGGTCCAAACCAAACTTAGAAAAACACTTCTTCCTGTCACTGTTTTAAGTGGAAGGCATATGTGCAGGGCTCAAAGGGTATATGCTTCTCTCCACATAGGTTTGCTGTTGTTGTTGTGTGCCTTCAAGTCAGTGTAGAAGAGGTCCAGGTCTCCAGAGTCACAATCCAACACTCAAATCACTACACCACACTGGCTCTCATATAAGCCTATGCTTTCCTTGAAAAAAACTAGTTCCAAATTAAGTTAAGTTAAGATCCTGGAAGCCTTTGGAGGTTTAATTCATATGCTTCATAAATCTGCACAGGTGAAACCAGCAATTTTCCTCGATGTACTACAGGAATGGATCATTACCAATAACAGGAATAATATAAGTATGCACTGAGTTTCTGCATGATTCACTGAGGCATGTTCTGACTCAGGCTTTTGTTTTTCATAGTGTAACACTTTATTCTTTTTGCACATTATAAATCAAAGATCTTTGTATATATGAATATAATGTACTTCTAACTTTAATTGTCTGTTTAATCATATGTGGTGATGCAGCAAGTGAAAAGGCTGATCTGCTGAACTTGCCGACTAGAAGGTTGATGGTTGGAATCCACGGGGTGGGGTGAGCTCCCGTTGTTAGCCCCAGCTTCTGCCAACCTAGCAGTTCAACAACATGCAAATGTGAGTAGATTAATAGGTACCACCTCAGTGGGAAGATAAACGGCACTCCATGCAGTCATGCTGGCCACATAACCTAGGATGTGTCTACGGACAACGCAGGGTCTTCAGCTTAGAAATGGAGATGAACACCACCACTCAGAACTGGAAGGGGAAGCCTTTACCTTTATCTGTGTTTCATTATTTCTAGGCATTGAATGTTTGCCTTTGTGTTTAGTATGCTGGAATCCACCCTGAGTCGCCATGGGGAGATAGGGTAGAATACAAATTATTATTATTACTACTATTATTATTATTTTACTAACATAAAAACACAGTATGTGACAGCAAATGAGATATATATGCTGGATTTCATATCACAAAATCACAAGTCGAACACTTCCAAGCATTTAGAACTGTGTGATACATTTTTGAATAATGCGCGCAGATCCAAGTAAGGTGGACTTTTGCAGTTTTTTAAATAATAATAATAATAATAATAATAATAATAATAATAATAATAATAACAATGTGTGTACATTTTGAACATTCTTTTCCTAAGAAAACCCTATGAAATGTATAGGGATGCTGTAAGTCAACAGGTGACATGAAGTCATACACACACTCACATACATCCTTGTGTATGACATAAGTTAACACCACACCAATATAAAACCTTGGTTTCAAATACTGCACAATCCCAAGAAATACTTGTGAAAGCAACAAGGTTCTGGTTTTGTGTTCTGGTAGTCAAAATTCTCCAAAATGTTTTGAAAAATGAGCTGATTACTTACATGCATGGCTAAAATACTGCGAGGGACTAATTCTCTGTATTGTCTAATGGTAAAGTGCCATGTTTTTATTCTCATAAGGTCATCAAAGGTAAATTCCAAGATGAGACGTCCTTCTGTACACACCTAGAAGCAGACAAAAAAAGGAAAACAATACTTTATTGTGACAATTATGTCCTTTCCTGAAGAAAAGAGAAACCGAGGAAAGCAATTCATTAGGCAGCGGTTGATCAGGCTGTAAGTTTTTATGGCTCTGCAGGCTCTAAATCTTATTTATCACATCTATTTTGCTTCCTCCTAAAGTCTCTGCAGCTAATTACTGGTACTAAGCTTTTCATTTCAGCCGTGATCTGCAGTTTTGCATGCATGATATCTAGCAACCGAACTAGACAAACCTACATTATTTATTTAGGAGATAGTATGCTATCAAAAGCCAAATAAGGGATTGGCCTATGTTTATAAAGGTTATATTTGTGCCAAGCAGTTGCTAATTTGCTCTGGAATAAAAAGAGCCAATATTCATTTACCTTCTATTTAATTATATTAAATATTTAATTTTACATCGTTATTTTTACCATTTTTTCTTGTTTTTCTATTTTTTTCAGTTCTCACTCTCTTTTAATTGTAGGATTTTGGAGGCCTTCCTCTTGGAGTCCCAAATTTTATATTTTTGGAGATTGAAAAATTAGAGATTTAATTCCATTAATCTCTTTTTGTTCTTATATCTCTATCCACACGATCTCTGTTTAGAATATAGCTTACTTTTCTGAACACATCTGCCTCTACGTCCCACCTCGTAATCTAAGATCATCTGGGGAGGCCCTGCTCTCGCTTCCGTCAACATTGCAAATGCGTTTGGCGGGGACAAGGGACAGGACCTTCTCGGCTGTGGCCCTCTGCCTATGGAATGCACTCCCAAATGAGATAAGATCGACTCCATCCCTCCTGGCTTTCAGGAAGAAATTAAAATTGTGGTTTTGGGACCAGGCTTTCAGACAACAGACATAATTAGCACATTAGCTGGACATGGACTGGAATGGCATTACGGCTGATGATACTGTGATATTGTTTTATTGTATTAATTAATGCCATGTTTACTGTTTTTAATTATTGCTATATGTATTTAATTTTGGTTCTACTATTCTAATTTTTATGTAGCGGCACCGTATCGTTACTAAATGTAAGCCGTCCTGAGTCCCCCTTTGGAGGGTAGAGAAGAGACGGGGTAGAAATACCATAAATAAATAAATAAATAAATAAATAAATAAATATAGATGTTAGCATAGCTGTACAGATCTGAATTTGAACATGAGCCATAAGGCTCAGAATCAGGAAAGAGAGGAGCGCTGTGAAGAACTTGACTTTTTCTGATTTGGATTAAAATCTGAGCTAGAGAAAATGTGTAATGTTTTCAACAGTTCCTTCACTGCTAGTGTCCTGGTACGGCTGTACCAGGAGCTCCAACTTCTTTTCCTTTCTATTGAGTGTTTGCATGTATTCCAAAGTTTCATGCATTTTGCAATAAGGAGGCTTCCCTTGGTTTGCAATCATAGGGCCAATGACCCATCAATTATCATTATGTTCTTTAGTTCCGCCCCTTTTTCTGGGTTAAAGAGGGAAAAAGGGGACCTCTAGTTCAGTTCACACAGAGAAGCCTTTCGTACAGGACATGAATCGGTTCCACCTGTAGAAAGCTTCGTCTTTTACAGCTTTGCTGGGGGGATCCAGTCCCACAGATAACTACAGCATAGCCTTTGTTGGGGAATTTAGTTCCACAACTCTACAGCCAGCCTTCGCTGGGAATTGAAAGCCTTCTTTCCTCTTGCAAATCTACTAAAGGACTCTGTTTGGTAAGGACCACTCATGGCAGCCATAAAGCAATTTGGACCGGGTGTAGGGGCCAATGCCAGCAGAGCTTAAGTCAGATTGCCCAGGGAGGGGTCAAGGATTTCCCTTGTAGAAGGAAAAAAACAGTTTATCTAGAAAGTTGCCTGTCCCTTGTGGACAAGATTTAAGCAAACCACCAGTTGATTCAAAGCCTTGAAGTATTTGTTTGATTTATTGAAGATTTAAGCAACAATAAAAACTTTGTTGAACTTTCTAAGTTTTTAAAAGAACTTTGTGTGGGGAAATCTGAAAGGCCTCTCAGCCGAGGCACCCCCGGCGTCCTGTTGGGCATTCAGAAAACAAGTCCAGTCTACAGACTCTTTCACAGGCCCAGCGCTTGACAGCACAGTTATGTATATTGGTAGGTAGAAGAACTGATGATAGATGATAACAAGGACTGGAAAATATGTTTGGAGAAATCATTTTCTATAATGATGGGCTAATAGATCCATTTTGCTACTGTTTGGGGAACTTGGACCTTTCACTCTACACTGATTTATTTGATTTACCCTTCCTACTTAAAAGCTCAGGGCAGCTAACAGCTTACATAAAATACATCATCCTGAAAACCACAAGTGGAAAAATAACTAAAATCACAAATTACAAATGTTTGGTTAAATGCCAATCAAGCAACAATAAACCAAAATCAAAACATTTGTTGATTCCAACTTGTGCAAAGCGTATCAATATGTGTTTAGCCAACACCTGACATGACTGAAACGGACACTTGTGTCTCTTAACTGAAGGGTGTTTCATACGCAGAGTAGCCCTGCTACATGGGTACTCCAAGGTACAACATGAGAACACTTTTTTTCAAAAACAACGTGATGCATAATGAATTATTTTAAAAAGAATCCTTCTAACTCTGCCTGTATTCAGGTCTCACTTCTTCCCCCACCTCCCCATCTGCACAATATAGACAAGCAAACACAGTCTCTCTAGCTTCACAGCCGCCTTGTTCTTCGGAGACAAAGGAGGGCCCAGGGAAACAGAAGCTACACTTGTTGAAATTTTCACACCTTCTCAATTATTAAAGGCTTCGCCTCGTCTCAACATACAGATGGCATTGTTAGAAAGGTTTCGTCGTTGCTCTTAAAGTTGGGAGCTGAAATATAATCACATAAGGATGTTTGCTTGCTTTCAGAGGTTTGCTCATGTCTGGCAAAATAATGATGTTTCAGCAGCAGGTGCAACTATAACTAAGCAGTTAAATGCCATTATTAATACCTCAATTGTGAGTGCTCTGAATGATGCCTTTTTCTGAGGTACAATTGGCTGTTAATAAAATATATAAATAAAACAAATCAATGTCTCAATTTCCTGAGAACTCTTATTAAATAGTGTGAGAAATGGCAGAAATCTATTCTGTTTTCATTTTAAATTTTGGGTGCCCCCTCCCCCCATTCTGTTTTTGGGAAGATTTTTCCTGAACAGAAATGGAATTCCAGATCCTGAATTATGAATCCAAATGGCCTTCCTCCCAATCTCCCAGAATCTTCCCAAAAACAGAACAGGGAGCAACCAAAATTTGAAATGAAAGCAGAATGAAAACAGAATTGATTTCTGCCATTTCACACACCCTGAAAAAATCACTGAAAAATTCCCACTTCTGTGTGGGAGTTTCTTCCTCTCCAAGATTTTGGAGTTCCTTGAGTGTGCAAGTGCCATATATACTCATGTATATGCACCCACGGTGGTGCAGCGGGTGAAACCACTGAGTTGCTGAACTTGCTGACTGAAAGGTCACTGGTTCAAATCTGGGACATGGCATAGGAATTAATTTTTTATATATAAATATGTTATGTATTTCTGCAAACAATTTTATTTCTGCATGTATCATGTTCCGGCCAGAAATTGAAATAGAGATTATTATTTTTTTGCAGAGCAGGTTAAACCACTGAGCTGCTGAACTTCCTGATCAAAAGGTCCCCAGTTTGAAAACAGGGAGTGGGGTGATCTCCTGTTGTTAGCCCCAGCTTCTGCCAACCCAGCTGTTCAAAAACATGCAAATGTGAGTAGATCAATAGGTACTGCTCCGGCAGGAAGGTAAAGGCACTCTATGCAGTCATGCCACCCATGTGACCTTGGAGGTGTTTATGGTCAGTGCCGGCTCTTCAGCTTAGAAATGGAGATGAGCACCAATCCCCAGAGTCGGACACGACTCGACAATGTCAGGGGAAAACCTTTACCTTTACTGTCTAGTGTATAAGTCAAGGGCAGGCTTAGGGGCCAAATTTGCGGATTTTAATATGACCCATAAATATATTAAAAGGTCATTTTGAGGAGAGCAGATAACACTAGCATTTCCTCAGATAGACAGCTATTACTTCCATTTTCCTTCCTAAAGATTCAAAATGGCCATAAGTAGTGACATTGCAGAGGGAGTAGAGGGAGTCAGCGCTTTCTTTTATTCTTCTAGGATGGAGTAAGCTCTTGCTTTCTATGAATCTACTTAGAGAAGGGGATTGTGCTGTCGCACGCTGGGCCTGTGCATATTACTGTAGACAGGACATAAATTTTGTGTGCCCAACGGGACACTGTGGCTGCCTCAGATTAAAGGCCCTTGGACCTCCCCAAAACAAAGTTATGTAGAGGCTTAAAGTAAGTCCAACAAAGTTCTTTATTGATGAAAACAAACAGGTACTTTAAAGCTTTCTTAACAGTCTATTGGCTCTTGCAATCTTGTTCACTGGGAACAGGCACTATCTTCATAACTGTATACTAACTAATGGGGAAATCCTTAACTTCTAATCTGGGCAGTCTGTACGTGCCTCTGTTGGCGTGGAGCCCCTGCACCCGGTACCAACTGCGTCTGGCTTCCACGAGCGACCCTTACCAAGCAGAGCTTTGTAGACTTCCAGGGGAAAAGAAGGAGTTCAGGTTTCAGTGATGGCTGGCTGAAGTCCTTCAGCAAAGGAGCTGTAAGGCTGTAAAATCCTTAGCCAAGCTATGGGGCCTTTTCTCCCCGGCCAAGCTGTAGACTGTATATCTCCCCGGCCAAGCCGTAGAAGACGAAGCTTTCTACAGGAGCTCTTGGTTTTATGTCCTGTATGGAAAGCTTCTCTGTCTGGACTGAACTAAAAAGGCTCCTATTCCCTCCAAAAACCCAAAAAGGGGGCGAGACCAGGGAACCTAACTATAATAGACAGGTGGCTTGCCCTATGATTGCAGCCAAAAGAAGCCACCTATCTGCAGAGTCCCTGAAACTTAGGACTGCAACAAACATTAAATGCAAAGCA